GCTACTCCCGTCTTACCCACCCCCGTCTTAGCTACCCCCGTTTTAGCTACCCCCGTTTTAGCTACCCCCGTTTTAGCTACCCCCGTTTTAGCTACTCCCGTTTTAGCTACCCCCGTTTTAGCTACCCCCGTTTTAGCTACCCCCGTTTTAGCTACCCCCGTTTTAGCTACCACCGTTTTAGCTACCACCGTTTTAGCTACCACCGTTTTAGCTACCCCCTTTTTAGCTACCCCCGTTTTGGTGCATACAGGTTTTTGTGGCCACGTTGCTGCCCCCGTTTTGGTGCATACAGGTTTTTTTGGCCACGTTTTTCCTGCCCCCGTTGTACCTGCTCCCGTTTTGGTGCACACAGGTTTTTTTGGCCACGTTTTTCCTGCTCCTGTTTTGGTTGACGGCCTTCCCTTCCGCCCAGTGTCCTTGTTCGTGCTCGGGTTATTCAAAAATGGCCTACTACAAATGCTTCCATCAATGCTTCCATCAATGCTTCCATCAATGCTTCCATCAATGCTGCCATCAATGATGCCATGAATGCTACCGCCAATGATGCCATCAGTGGTACTTACACTGTCGATACCACCGCCCGCACGGCACTCCAAGAGCCGTTTCCCCTGCGGGATGAGCGAACACGCGAGAACGACCTCCGCCCTGTCCTCCACGGGCAGCTCCTCCACGGGCAGCTCCTCCACAGGCAGCTTCCCCACAGACCGCCTCTTCTTCACCATGGCCTTCCTCTCCTTCTTCCACTTGTCCATATAAAAATCTAAAAATTTGATCCACGCGCCCACAATCTTCCGGCGCTTGAATTTCCTAAAGTGGCTCTTCTTCTCCTTGTACCTATCCCGGATGTAGACGTAGGAGTAGCACTTTTTTATACGTTTTTTAAATTCAATCGTATCTTCCATGTCCTCAATCCACATGATCCTATTAATGTAAGTCGACCATATGATCCACATTTTATTCTTCCACATCTCATCTACTCCTCTGGTTTTCTCTCCGCAAAATAATTCCATCCATGTGTAAATATTGAACCGCCTCCAAAAGTTCATTCTGATTTCCCAATATCTAGTCTTCGCATCGAGGCATTTTGTGTACCAATTTCGAATAGCTTTTTTGTTCACCTTTAAACAGGCAACTATGTTCCTATTTATTATCTCCATGGAAATAATAACTTCTCCATCCGTTTCCGAGTTGTCATTATATCCTACTTGGTCTGTTAATTTTTTAACACTTTCTTCCACTTCCTGGGTGCTAATGTGGAAGTCCCTCCACCCACGGTCGTTAACCGTTAATAGCATTCTGCTGTGCTTCACACCATGGGATGGGACCTAAGAAAAGGAAACGAGGAGGTGTTACCGCAGAAGTAATACTGAGAAAAGCGAGAACACCCCGCGCCCACTCATCATGATCAGCTTAAATTTCAGAGGCCAACTCTCAAGCGATGCTCCAAAATGATTTTGTACCGAGCCCACCCGACGGGAACTTTACACATACAACACTATACTCACCTTAACAAAAAGACATAACACGAGGAAAAAAATTACACAGGCATTTACCCATCCCTTCAAATTTATCGCGTTTATTTTTCCCCATTTTCCATTATCCTCTTCACTACCATAATTCCCTGTGCGGTTTTTCCCCTCTGAGTCGATAGGTACTCGTGTGACCTTCACTTGGGGGGCCATTATATAACTCACTCAAAGAAACCCTTTTCATGCATCGCAGGCTGGCGAGTAAAAAAATAGATTACTCCAAAAAATACACGCAAAAAAAAAAAAAATAAAATAAAATAAAAATGTGATGCCTCTAAACGAGCACTCCCCTCTACCGGTGTCGTTTTTTCTCAAGCCGCTCCCTTTCTCATCTTTCCCCATTACATGCGGGAAAATACATGTGCCATGGCTTCCTTTCGTTAATCAAAAATAAATATATATATTTTTTTTTTTTAATTTCTTCCTTTTCATTATTTACAAAATTTGCAAAAAGTGTACGAGGTTTTTACCGGAACACATCAACATGATTAAAAATCTCTGAGAGGGATTTTGGTATGATGAAGAGAAAATAGGCACAACAAGCAATGGTGCGCAAAAAAAAAAAAAAAAAACAAAGTCGTAAAAACATGCCCCGGACTGCAAATACAACATTAGCCACAAGTGCATGTATAAAAATATATGTATATAGGTATACACCCCATTTTCATCGCAACTTTCAATGACTTCAAATTGATTAACACCCTTTTAGCGTCATACATATATACAGTTCCAAAATGGTTAATCGGGTCATGCAGGTTTTGGGCCACGCATTTTTTTATAAATATATATAAATACATATATACATATATAGTCTTAGTGAAAGCAATATATTCTTGTGCTTTAATCAAATTTAAGGATTAACCAAAGTGGGAAAAAAGGCATATGCCGCTGATTTTTTTTTCCCCCCACTTCAAAATAACAACTCTATCTAAGATCTTTACAACGGAGCACTCAACCCTAAAAAAAAAAAAAAAAAATTACTAATTCATTTTTTCATGTGTACATTTACTTTTTGCAATTTGTGTGGTACAAAAGTTTTACTGTTTTTTTTTTTTTTTTTGTTTTTTTTCCCCGCTCCTCCCGTGTTAGCAAAAATGTGTATGCATGTGTTCACGTTTGCCTGATGTGAGCGTTCGAGTTAGTCTTCCTGCACATGCGCATGCATGCCTCCGCAACTCCCACCATTACTACCAGCGCTGCTAAGAATTACTCTCATCTCTGTTATCATGTACAACTCTTGGGCTACCATGCTGATCCCTCCTTTGTTCCTCTCTTTCTCCTTACACCCACAGGGGCGGTGTGATCGCGTCCTTAAGACTTGCCCTTAAGGTGTCACTTGGTCTTTTCTTAGGTAAATTGTTTAGGAGGGGCTGTAGAGCGCGAGAGTCGTCACTCACGGGAACCGCCAATCAGAGCGGACATCAATCGCAGCGACAACCACTCAATCTCATTTTTGTCCAAGTCGGGTTCTACTGAGTACACTTCAAAATCAAACAAAAAAAAAAAAAAATAAATAATAAATAATAAATAAGTGAAAAATGCAGAGCTCATCATGCTAACTGCAACGTGTAGGGGGTAAAAAAAAAAAAAACAAAACAGGAGTTGTACGAATGCACAAACTGTACCATATGAGAACTAGCGATCACGCTTTTCTGTTTATATTTTCTACGCGTGGGGATGAAAATCTGTTTGGTTTGCAGGAACACATTGAGACAAATGGTGGAAGGAATCAACTGGTGGTCCTCTACCGAGAGTGTGGTGCTGGCACGCTCACATCAAGCGTGAAGAGGCAGTAGGAGAGGGGGGCCGGGAACAGAAACATCATGCGGAGAGGCACACGCATGGAAGCAAGCATGGAACTGCACGCATGCAGCGGACTGATCGGCGAAGTATTTAAAACAGTGCTCACGGAAAAAAGAGGCAGCGTGACTCCCCCCCTCCTCCGTCAGGACTCCTCCAAGTAGTACTGCATGGGGTAGTACACTGCAGGAAAACTCCTGCGCAGCAAGTCAGAAATGGAGACTTCCCCATGCGCCTTCTTCTTCGTCTTCCCCTTCATCTTCGTCTTAGCATTCACCTTGTATAATACATCATCAAGGAGTAAAATGTTCATTCCTTTCTTTAGTGTGCTATTTTCCATGTTATACTTTTTAATTAGTTCCTTCACGAGGACCACATTGAAATTACTTTCTTTGGCTAACCTCTGCAGGTTCCTCGCTTGGCACCTTAAAAGATAACTCGTAATAATAAATGTCATGTAACAAAATTTGTCTAGCTTCAGGTGAGGATATATTCTCCCGTTTTCAATCGGTAAATTTTTTAAGAAGGAAAATATTAACACTGGTTTCATGTAACCAAACGTGTATTCCCTTTTCTTCGTGGACGATTCTCCATTCTTGTACTTAATTTTGTGCCGAACATTATAGCAGTAGGATATCACATCTATGTCATTGCATAGCAGAAGAATATTATCAATGTAAGGGTTTTCAAATAACTGCGCAATGTCCTTCACGATTGTATTTTTTTTCTTCTTGTCCGACGCATTGTCCATGGCCGAGGGGTGAGACAAGTGCGGCAAACAGGACGAATGGGGCGAAGGCGATGTATCTGCCCCTCCTATCCCTTTCGCCGCACTGGTCACCTCCGCCTCTTCCGTCAACTCGCTTGTCCGGATCACCACCTTTATGTTTCGCTCCTCGAACAACTTCAGCGTGCTCTCCAGGTCATCGAACAGGTAGCCGTATGACTTCTTATGTCTGCATGCATGACCCCGATGCGCACTTGCCATGTTCTTTGGTGCCCGTCGCGGGTGAGACAGCATCAACTCGTTTTCCTCCCCCACGTGATTTGCCTCTACCGTATGGTTTCCCTCCACCGCATAATTTGCCTCCACCGCATGGTTTGCCCCCCTCGCGTGGTGCACATAAATGACGGTGCAGTTTTCGCGAAGGAGTTCACAAATCTTATCCAACATCAACACCAAGTCGACCAGCTTCATGGGCCTATTTTCATTCATTTCGAAGGAACTACCCATGTAATCAAAGTCCAACAGGATACCACATGTAATGGGTTTATCACTTTGTAGTTGCAGAGGCATAACCACTCTCTGAAAATCACGAACCTCCTGATGCACATAAAAAATATACTTTAAGGGGTAGTTCTTCCCGAGGATATTATTAATTTCTAACTTGAGTAACTCCTCATTCATGTAGTAAGTTTTTGTACCAATCTCGTTCTTATTGTTTATCAATTTGAAAGAAAGAATTCCCTCGGTGTGTATCGTGACCTTGTACAAATCTCCCTTAAAATTGTTCCGCATGCCCTTGTTGTTCTTATTATTAAATCTTTTCTCGTTAAATGCTTCCAACAATCTATCCACTGTATCCTTCTTGTCGCAAGTCAGCTCTTTCAGGAAAGTGTTAAGGTACAGAAATAAGTTGTATGACACGTTATAATTCGTGCACCGCATGTCTGCATTGCATGGTTCCTTTTGATACACGTAGTTGGAGAGTTCGATCTGGTCGGGGCAGCTTTGCACACTACCGCTGTTCACACTACCGCTGTTCACACTACCGCTATTCACACTACCGCTATTCACACTGCCGCTCTCTACACTGCTTGTAGTGATCTCTCTTCGCAAATGCTCGTGGAGGCGCTCCACGAACGAGTGTTCATCCCTGATGGCGGCGCTGTACATGTTCTCGCCCCTCCACTCGAACAATCCTCCTGAGCAGTCGTCCTCCCCCTCTTGGTTCTTCCCTTCCGACTCGGTGCAAATTTCGACACCCACTTCACCACCCCCTGGTTCCTCCCTCTTTACCGCGACCCTCTTAAACACATTGCTGTGCACCTCGCCAAGAGACTCGTCTGCACTGCCCTGAGTAGCCAAGCTAATTTTTCTCTTAAACCCACAAGTTAGGTCCTCCTCGATTAAATCAAAAAAAAATATTACTTCGCTTTTTTCTAGGTGTAAGTACCATGGCTTCTTGTACCTTTCCCTCTTCACTAGTACGGTGTTTTTTTTTCTTCGATCCCTGGGCTGCACTAGTTGGGTGGGCTTCCTTCCCTCCCTGTTTTCCATGCCGGGTTTGTGGGTTCCTCAGTGGGGGCACTCTCCGTTACTCCTAGGCTGCTCTTTTCCTTCTTCCTAGGGTCACAAGTTTTACATACGCACACTCACACGCTATATTACATATGCATATGCACACCTCCCCCCACCCTTGTGCACATTTGCACGTGAGCCCAGCACTTCCTCACGTTGACGCGACGCCCCTTTCACTTGTCTACAACAAGACAGGGGCCATCCCCGCTCCGCTCCACTGAATTTGCCAAAACGAAAAAAGCTACACATAAAGAAAAAAAAAAAAAACTCTCTTTAATTCTATGCTTTATAAGAACAAACCCTTTTTCGAACAAATATTTTTTTTTTTTTTTTTTATATTTAGCTAGCTACCCCTACTATGAAGCTTTATCCTCCTCTTTTTTTTTTTTTTTTTTTTTTTTTTCTAAAATGCATGTGAAAAAAAAATATATATTTTAAGCTCCGGCTGTGTGCTAACCTATATGGACGTAGATATGTTCGGATCGAAATGGAGGACTTTCCAAATAAACAGAGAAACAGTTCATAGTTGCTTCAAATAGTTAAAAAAAAAAAAAAAAAAACATTGCTTCCAACGGAATTGCTTAACGAATGTGTTATATATGTATGCTCACCAGATAGAACGGCTGACGAACGGAGTAACAACATGTACAAATGTGAGCTTACACAAATGTTTACACTGCCGTTAACATCTGCACATAAACGAGTAATAAAAAAAAAAAAAAGAAAAGAAAAAATCGAGAAATTACCATGTTTAGGGTTTGGGGGGACAAACCGTACATGTGTATGTGTAAAACATATGAATATATATATATTTACATACACGTGTAATACTCTCTTCAACTGGTCCTCGGCTTCGCTAAGCCCACCGTGAAAACACGAAATCATTGTTCATTGCCTAGGGTTGCACATCACTTTCTAGCTAAATAAATAAGTAAAAAAAAAAAAAAACGCACGCCTCCCCTTTTACTCATTTACCCCGATTCTGATGAACATACAAACAAATTGTAATTAAGGAAGTCCACAGGTAAATTCTCTAACTCGCCATACTTCCCTGCCCCGTCCTCATGCACAAGCATATACGCGCGAGTGCAATAGAGAAAAAAAATATATATATATATGTGATGCTTATATATAATGCTTATATGTGATGTGTATAAGGCTTACACATGGTTCTTATTTTTATTTTCTTTCCCCCCTGCATGCATGTGAAACAATTAACGGGCACATAATGCTCTAGGCAACCTGTTCAGCGGGCGAGAGCTGCTCCTTCCCCTTGATCAGGATGTAAAGCTTTTCCTGTGCGGACGCGTTTGTCATGTGCATTCAAGCAGCAAGTGCACGCAACTAATACACATTTCTCCTCCGTATGTGTACGCGTGAGCACGTACGTTAGTTGCGTGTACTTGAAAATATGCTCTTGAAAGTATTAATACTAATTTACACGCTTACATGCACTTGCTGGCTTGCTTATACACAACTGGCTATGTCCGTCCTGCTCGCCTCATCACGTACAAGTACTACCCGTTCCACACTTCATTTATTTCACACTCATAAAGGGAGCAACACATATTTCAATTATTTTATTTTTAAAAAATTCTTTTTTTTCTTTCTTAGCTACTTTTTTTTCCCCCCCCTTGGTGGTCGTGGTTCTTAAACTGCTTGCAACTGGCGCACGAGCAAGTCGGTTCGTTTGTTCGTTTGTTCGTTTGCTCGTTTGCTCGTTTGCTCGTTTGTTCTTTTTTGTATGCCATCCGCTTAACTGATCAACCCTCAGTTCTCATTTTCCATCGCCAGAGACGAATAGAGAGTTGCCTCCTCCCCCTCCACAATTTCGTACATCTATGCTTTTACCGCGCTGCGTTGCACCGTGTAAACGCCAACTCAGCTACACCTCCCCTCCCCACCTTTGTGTTAACCAAATTCAGTGACGAACATATACCTCGGGGTGGAGAATGCAATTACTACTTCACTTTGATCGGAGAAATGTTGCTAAATCATGGTGAAATTTTTTTTTTTTTCAATGAGCAACAAGGTTTGTCAATCTAACACTCATCATTTCAACTCTTTCGTATACTAACGGAATAAAAAGAATAAACTAAGGGACGGGAAATGACACTCTCTTTCTTGTCTCTGTTGCATAGAGTGCACTGCGTCTTCAAATTTTACAAGACAAACTTGTGCCTTCTTACGTGAGTGTATATGTGGACAAGTGGGCTCTTGCGCGTGGTCATAAAAGCGAGCTCAGGTAGCTTATGTTGTGGTGTGAGACCCGATTGGTCATGCTTCGAGATACACACAACCTTAACTGTTTGTCTCTCCGTTCGTTCACACAACGTATACTTTTAGCAACCATTTTGTGGCCAGGGTGTCATCTAGCCCAGCTACTATCCCCTCCACTGCAGTGTAGCTTGAACTGCAACAATTAACGGTGTTTTCCTTCCCCATAATGTGCACTTCATTTAAAAAAAAAAAAAAAAAAAAAACAGAATGATAAGTGCTTCCTTTCTTGCCGCCATGAAGTAGAGAACGGCTGGTCAAAAGGGGTCACGAAACCCAATTCTTAACTTATGTTCATATATCGTATAATTAAACATAGGTCTATGTCCTACTATGTGAACCGTCCACGAGATGTACCCTTTCGAAGTGAGGCCAGCATGCGCTGGTCCAGTGGCAGGTAAACAATTGAAGCAAAAGATAATGCATCCTTTAACCATGCCACTGAAGGGGAAAAAAAAATATATATATAAGTTTAAAAAAAAAAAAAAAAAAAGCAAAACGGGAAAGCCGCTAAAAAAAAAACAAACTATTCACTAAGTAGTGTTTCATAAAGTTAGTTGGTGAGGAGAATGTGAAGAACATTGGGGAGGGTGTAGCTGGTATAAAGGGGCCTTCAAATGCTACCCCACTGAGTCGTCTTCACATGCTCCTCATAAACTTTACGAAACAGCATACCTCGCGTACGTGTAAATTTTCTGGGCTGTCGCTTAAAAAATAACCAACACACATCATATACCCCCCCTTTTCAAATCCCATACAGACAAATGTCCGCATGAACAACAAAAAAAAAAAAAAAAAAGATCCTCCACATTGGGGGTGGGGGGGATTTTTTTAACTTCTTCTTAGTGGCCTACTCAAAGTAAAGGGACGTATCGTACAACAGTTTGTTCAGCTGTTCAATCTTTAAGTCATTCATGCGATTGAGCGAGCTCTCCGTCATTGTGTCTTCGAAAACGGAATGCTCATCTGTGGAAAGAGGAGAGAAGGGGAAACACATATGCAAGCTTTCGGAAGAAAGCCATCCCAATGATGGCAAAGCGGAGGGGGTGGGAGAGCTTCACAGGTATATTAACCCTCATTTTTTTGCACATTTCCATTGTAACCTTCTACAAGGTGCATCGAGGTCGGTGGTTCCGTCTTCACCAACGAGTAAATAATGGTAAACAAAATGAAGCAGAAGAAGGTGAACATGATAGCACACGGGATGATGGCCGCCCAGTACCTATGAGGGTAGGAACAGAAGCGACAAAATAAAAAAAAAAAAAAAAATGAAAACAGCTTAGGAAACTCAAAACGGGCACATATATACCCACATAAAATATCCCTCTTTTTTTTTGTTTGCGCGCTTCGCCTTGTTGGGGAAAAGGACAGAAGAACCATACTTCGAGGGGAACGGAAAGGACAAGACGTTCAAGAAGTCATCAAATACGAAAGCCCAGACTAAATACGATGCTGTAAAGTGCAAGTTTGGGGTGGTGTGACAAGGGTGAAGGGAAGTGGACCTGCGGGGGAAAACCCAAAGAGGGTGTACCTGTCACATGCGCACGCATATGCGTAGACGTATGCACATGTATATATAAGCAAACGCATATGTGTCATGCGGCAGGGTCTCTCTCCTGCGCGTGCTCTTGCCCACTGCACAATCGTTCAATTCCACCAACCCCAAAGGATGTGCGACAGGTACAGAATGAAAAAGGCGTAGCCCTCCTTAATGGACTGCATTGTGCATTTGTGGGCTGCGGAGATAAAACCATGTCATGCATGTGCGGCAAGTAAACGCTCGTGTGCTGTACATAGGTTAAACAACTATGCGAAAAAAAAAAAAAAAATTTTTTTAAATACTAAATTACGCCTACCGTTAGCATTATTGCGAAACGTTCTCCAAGTTGTTCGCCTTACGGTTCCGCAAAAGGGCAAGAAATGGAAAACAATTAAAACCCTAACACGGTGCAGAAAGGTTTACCCAAGGAAAGGAAGCAAGCCTTATGGGCATATAATTATCTCACCAGGCAAGGAAATAAATTGGGGCAACTGATATTATATTGCCGCATAAACCGACGCAGTGCCAACAACATAGAGCCGGATAGAAATTGCGCTTCCCCAAATTTTGCGACGGTTTTCCGCGAAAGGATCATTTCCTGGGTAGAATAATTTTTGGAACAAATTATTTACGTGCATCCTGAGCTGGTAGATTTTTTTTTTTTTTTTTTTTTTTTTTTTTCACTGAAGCCAACCAGGAATTTATCTCTCCATATGTTTAGGAGATAGGGTTTGGCTATTTTCTGGGCGGGTTGCTAATATCAAAATAGGGCTTTCCCTAGCTACTTTTTTTTTCTGTTGAAAGTGGTAGAGCGGGGAAAGCAGTGGTTAATCCACTCCCGTCCGTAATTGTACCGCCTTATCACTTCCATCGGAGCCCGCCACTTTTTGAACCCCCCACCCATGATTAAATGAGATGAGCAAGTGACGAACCTTCTTCTGTGGAGGGGAAAAAAAAAAAAAAAAAAA